TGTTGGTGGGAATGTAAATTGATATAGCCACTATGGAGAACAGTATGGATGTTTCTTAAAATACTAAAAATAGAACTACCATATGACACAGCAATCCCACTACTGGGCATATACCCTGAGAAAACCATAATTCAAAAAGAGTCATGTACCACAATGTTCATTGCAGCACTACTTACAATAGCCAGGACGTTGAAGCAACCTAAGTGTCCATCGACAGACGAATGGATAAAGAAGTTTTGTCACATATATACAATGGAATATTACTCAGCCATAAAAAGAAACGCAATTGAGTTATTTGTAGTGAGGTGGATGGACCTAGAAGCTGTCATCCAGAGTGAAGTCAGTCAGAAAGAGAAAAACAAATACCATATGTTAACACATATATATGCAATCAAAAAAAAAAAAGGTTCTGAATAACCTAGGGGCAGGACAGCAATGAAGACACAGATGTAGAGAATGGACTTGAGGATGCAGGGAGTGGGAAGGCTAAGCTGGGACGAAGTGATAGAGTGGCATGGACATATATATACTACCCAATGTAAAACAGATAGCTAGTGGGAAGCAGGTGCATAGCCCAGGGAGATCAGCTCGGTGCTTTGTAACCACCTAGAGCAGTGGGATAGGGAGTGTGGGAGGGAGACGCAAGAGGGAGGAGATATGCGGATACATGTATATGTATAGGTGATTCACTTTGTTATAAAGCAGAATCTAAGACACCATAGTGAAGCAATTATACTCCAATCAATTCGTTAAAAAAAAAAAATCAAGGGTGATGGTACTGAGGTAAGAAGTGCTTGTCATGTTGGATGAGCCCCAAAAGGACATTACTGTTGAAAAAATGTGAGAAAGGTAATACTGATAAGAAATAAAACTGGAGTTCATGTCAGCCAGTGGCCAAACCTGTTAGATGCTTGTGGGCCAAAGAATAGAATTTTGCTCTAAGTATGATGGGAAACCATTGGGTTTTGAGCATGAGTAACATGTTCAGTTTGATGTGTCAAAAAGATAGCTCTGGGAAACTACCAAGAAAAGGAAAAGACAACCTACAGACTAGCAGAAAATATTTGCAAATGTTGCTACCGACCAAGAATTCATTTCCAAAATGTACAAACAGCTCATACAGCTTAATATCAAAAAAACACAAACAACCCAGTCAAAAAATGGGCAGAAGACCTAAAAAAACATTTCTCCAAAGAAGACATATAGATGCCCAATAGGCCCATGAAAAGAAGCTCAACACTGCTAATTATTACATAAATGCAAATCAAAACTACAAAGAGGTACCACCTCACTCTGGTCAGAATGGACATCATTAAAATGTCTACAAGTAATAAATGCTGGAAGGTGTGTGGAGAAAAGGGAACCCTCCTACGCTGTTGGTGGGAATGTAAATTGGTGCACCCACTGTAGAGAAAAGTATGGAGGTTCCTTAAAACACTAAAAACAGAGCTATCATATGATCCAGCAATCCCACTCCTAGCTATATATCTGAAAAAAATGAAAACTGTAAATAGAGAAGATACATGCACCCCAACATTCATAGCAGCACTCTTAACAATAGCCAAGACATGGAAGCAACCTATGTGTGTATCAACAAATCAATGGATAAAGAAGATGTGGTATATATGCACAATGGAATAGTACACAGCCATAAAAAAGAATGAAATAATGCCATTTGCAGCAACATGGAAGGACCTAGAGATATAATATTAAATGAAATATCAAACAAAGAAAGACAAATATCATATGATGTCACTTATATGTGGCATTTAAAAAAATGATATAAATGAACTTATTTACAAAACAGACTCACAGACATAGAAAACAAACCTATGGTTACCAAAGGGGATAGCGGTGGATGTGGGGGGAGACATTAGGAATTTGGGTTTAACATAGTCACACTACTGTATATAAAATAGATAAACAACAAAGACCTACTGTATAGCACAAGAAACTATATTCAATATCCTATAGTAACCTATAATGGAAAATTATATACAATAGAAAATTATACATACATACAATATATATATTTTTAACTTAAATATAGTTTAATGTGATTTTATTATGTTTAAAAATATTGTTCTGGGAAGGGTCCGTAAGCTTCACAAAATTGCCAGGAGTCCACAGCAGGAAAAAAAAGTCAAGAACGCCTTTGTCTGGCATATTCCAGACAGGCCGCTCCACCAGCCGGGTCCTGGAAGGAAGACCATAAAGACTGGAGCTGCCCCTGAGTCTTCATTTATATGTAACTTCAGTTATATGTATAATTGAATCACTTTGCTCTATACCTGAAACTAATACAACACTGTAAATTAAGTATACTTCAATTTTAAAAATGTTAAACAAAAGATAGCTCTGGATGTTATATTTAGAATATATGGGGGCACTAGAAGCAGGGAGCATTTAAGAGGCTTCTGTACTAGTTCAGACTTGAGATGACGATGGTGTGTAGGAGATGGAGTGACGGAGGTGATAAGGCATGGGTGGATTTGGAATCTAACCCCTTCTTTCCCAAAGGCTACCTTTTGGAGGCCTCCTTCTTCCAGGTCAGGTTGGCCTGCCAGGTCTTTTGCTCTGCCAGCCTGTGGCTGAGCTGTAGTCCAGCAACTGCTTTTGCTTTCTGAGTTGGTGCCACTGACCTAGATCTTTTGTTCCTTGGTTCACTGCTCCATTTTCCTGAACTTCCTAAGAAAATGTGCATGAAAAAACTTGTCATATTAATCTTCAGTCTGAGGTTTATGTGTCACCACATTTAATTGATAGTTTGGCTTTTGTTCAAAATTCATGAAAATAATTTCCCTCAAGGCTTTGAGTGTATTTGTCCATTGACCTTCAATATCTGATGTTGCTTGTCCTTGACAACCTTATTTTCTCTACTTTCTAAAGGTCATTTATCTTCTTTTCTAAATGTTTAGCATCATTTCTTCTTCCTAAAATGATTCAGACATTTCACAGTGATGTATCTGGTAGTAGGTCTTCATTCAGTGATTCATGAACTGGGCAACTCGTGGACCCTTTTAATCTGAAGACTTTTGTCCTCACTTAATTCTGGGAACCTCACTTACATTATTTCTTTCCTACTTCCTGTCTTGTGTTTCCTATATCATCTTTTTGGAACTTCATGTTTGATATCGAGACATTTTATTGATCTTCTAAAACTTCATATTTCTTCTTTCTTTTCCTCTTTGGCCATTGTCCCATGCTGGCAAATGCTGGATCACAGCTTTTTCTGTCCTGCTTCATCAACCAGTATCCGTGCATTAGGTATATATTAGTTTTATATTGTAGTTATGACAAACTACCCTGAAGATAGTAGCTTAAAACAGCACAACTTTGTTATTTTACAGGCCAGAAGTCCATTGCGCATTTCACAGGACTAAAATCAATGTGTCACTAGGGTTTCCTTCCTTTCTGAAAGCTCGAGAGGAGAATCCGTTTCCTTGCTTTTTCCAGCTTCTAGAGGCTGCTTGCGTTTGTTGGCTGACGACCCCTTTCCTACACCTTCAAAACCAGCAGTGTTGCATTTTTCTCTCCAGCCCTGCACCCTCCTCCCAGCCCCACTTCTGTCTCTGTCCAAAGCCAAGAAAAGTTCTTTGCTTTCAGGGACTCATGTGATTAGATTGGGCCTACCTGAATAATCCAGAGTAGTCTCTCTATCTCAAGATCTGTAACCTTAATCATATTGGCAAAATACCTTCTGCCATGTAAGGTAACATATCCACAGGTTCTTGGGATTGAAGTGTGGACATCATTGTGGGCCATTATTCTACCTATTATAGAACGTCTCCTAGAAATGTATTGGACTCTGTGTCTGCTGTTAACCCCCTTCTATTTTCTTCATGACTATTGGCATGTAAACCATTTTATATTATCTTGTGATCATTTTACTGTGGTTCTGGGAAGAAGAAGAGGTAAATAGATGAGCTAAGTGTGGCATCTTGAATCAGAAGCCTTTCCCCAGGAGTTTCTACTGTCTATTACTTAAAAACCATCATATAGGAGCTTAGGTACAGGGACAATGAAATAACACTTTTTGTAAAAATTTGTGAATGTACTTTGTATTTTCAAAACTATTATTTGAATTATTCTTTTTATTGTTCTCTGAGTTTCAACTTTATTATACATGGAATTACTTTATTTAATCTACTTAATTATAATTAATACTTGGGCCTGACTCTTATCAAGCCTTCTTGTATATTTTTAACATTTTAAAGTATTCTGTATATGTCTGAGCGTCGATACACTTTTTTTTGTATCTGTGTTTGTGTGTGTGAATCTGTATATTTTTAGGGGGAAGTCGTATGTTAAAGTGGTACCAATTATTTTGCTAGAGATATAAAAATTTCTTTCAAAATGACTTTTAAATTTAGAATGAAATTTGTCATAAAATATTTAGTCCAACCTTATAGTTTAATTATTTTAAATTTTAAAAAGTTCTTACTGCATTTTAATTTCTTATCAGAAATGATGCGTTTTCTATAACTCACTAAAACTTCAAGAACTCTATTATTCTTACTAGAAACCATAATTTTCCTAACTGTATTCCACAGAACACTAGACTATTGTGATATTTAGTTGCTCTTAGTTCAGAGAAAGTGTGTTCTGTGGGCAAACAATTTGGGAAAATGACTCATTCAAGTACATTTCCCTCCTGAATATTTACAGAGTGCATTAGGAGAGATTTTACAGCAAAGCAAAACAAATACATTTTTTAAATCTTTGATCAACCTAAAATATTCTAAATATATTTGATCATAAAACAATTTTTGATTTAAATTTGAGGATGACTCCTTAACAGCTCTTGTGAAACTGTATCTCAGAAACATAGTTTGAAAGTGCTGTTGTAGCCTATTCCTCTAGTTGTTTTGTGCTAAATAATTTGACTCTATCATATACAAATGCAATTCAGGGAAAGATGACTGGGACACAGTTTTACAGTTGAGAGGGAGTTAGATGCTGTGCTGGAGACATGTGACTAGGTCTTCTGTTGTCCTTACCTTGTTCTTTCATGACACCCATGGGATGGTATCAGTTTCCAGAGTTGTCCATCTGAAAGCTCAGCATGGACCTCCACAAGTTTTCCAGAATTACTCTGTGGCCACCAGCCCAGAATCCCTCTTTGTTTTACTCTTCTCTTCTAAGGAATGCTGGTGTAACACTGAGGTAAAAGAAAGAGCAGAAGAATGTAAGAAGGCACAAAATACTCTCTTCAGTGTGACTCTCATCTGTAGATACCACTTCCTTTAACTCAGTGAGAGGACCAGCCATCCTCTCTCACAGGCAATGTGAAAATGGCTCAAAACCAGTTAATTGGGTACTTATTTGTACCTTTTGATGCTTCAGAAAATATTTCAGGAAATTTTCAAAAATACTTAAATTATAACAATATGATGTTAAAATGAATATTATTGTGACCTACAGATTTACCATGATTGGGCCATAGTTTACTGCTTTTCCATAAACCAGTTGCAAACAAGGAATCCCTGTCACTTAACAAGAGTCGCAATATCCCCTGGATAAAACAAATCAATTTCTTAAGAGAATTACAACTATTCTTTAAACTAGGATCAGGCAGAATTTTATCCTGAGGCTGTGTAAAGAGAACTCTTTGTGATTTAATCAACAGCATTCTCACAATTCAGCACATTTCTTAGGGATCTTTTTTATAACACTGTCAATAAAGCTGATGTTACCACACCTAAACATAATTTAGTAACAACAATTCTTTATGTATATGTGCAGGGGGGAGGTATGGTGTAATTCAGTGCTAATTAGGTATCCATCTCTTGGCTGACCTTGAAGACGGTTGAATTCCCAGTACCTAAGCCATTGCCCTGAACATAGCAGGTAACAACAAATCTTTGTTCAAGGTGATAATTTTGTTATCATGTTTAATACATGTTCCCATGATAACATGTATTGTAAAATGCATAGGAATGGTTCTCCTGCTTATACAGGGCTTACCCTAGCATCTTGTTATAGTGACAAATTCAAAAATGCTGCCCTCATTCCTACACCCATGGTAATGCAGCAAAATGATGTCTTCTAACCCAGGCACGGTCAGAAAGATTGCTCCTCAAGCTCAGCCAGCCCATATTTCATAATATCCATCCCAAAAGCACAAAGTTGATCTTTCAAATATCTCTTTAACATGTCTATAGAATTACCCACAAGGCTTAGTGCTGCCCATTGCTAACAGATATAACAGTCCTGTGGAGTAGGAAGTTACCCATAAAGAAATTAAGATTCAGGATGGTTGAGCCCATTGATCCAGTTCATTGAGTCTAGCAAGTGGCAGCTGGGAATTGAACTCTGGTCTGTCTGACTTCACATTTCATAATTTTAACCACTACCATGTGCTAAGAGAGCTCCTGTAGGGCTTGAACTATATGTTTCCTTCCAAAGAAAGAGCAGGAAAGGGCAGCAAAGACAGAAGAAGCCATAACAACCTCACAGTCAATTATTCTGGAAATTCAGATATTTTAAATCTGCCCTGATGCTCTCAGGTCTCAAATCTTATCTCTGCTGTCTTGTGGGCTGGCCTTTCTCAATGCCAACCTTTGTTTTTGTCTGATGTACCTTTTGACTTCCTTTCATTTGTTTTGTGTGCTCTCAAGTGGTATTTAAGTTGACAGCCAGGTCCTCAGTCTTCTTCTCAAGGGATTATAGGTGTCAAACTACTTTCATCTTTGTCTGTGCATTTCTTTAAGTGATAAAGGATCAAGAAGGCTCTCCATCCTCCTCTCTCCCCTGTAGTCCCCTGGCATTCTCAGTGAGATGTTAGTTGGAAAACTGCACTCCTACAGTAGTGGTGAGATAATTGAAATTCAGCGCAGCAGGGAGGAAATCAGTTCTGGAGGCCTATTATTTTGCAGATTCTTTGTTAGGATTTTGACCCTAGATCTGTGCTAGCCAAGATGAGGAGAGTTAGAAGAGGGGAACACAGTTCCCTAGAATGTTTTGAATTGAGATAATCACATCCCAAATCCTTAGGCCTGAGATGACCTGCTTACCTTGCATACATCCCTCTGGGTTGCTGTTCTCTAGATGTTCTTTTTGATGTCAAGTCCTTCTGCAAAACACCTTTAGCAAACAGCATTTGAGGGTTAGATACCTAGTATTCATATTAATGTGAAAGTGTATCAAATACAGTTTCTTTTTAACTCTAAGCAGGCCGACATAACTGTTTCTTACACGATTTCCTCAGGCATACATGTTACCAGGATGTGTTTGTCAGTGAAGTCAATCTAACATTTTTTCATGGGAAATCTGGCTTTAAAAGAATGTTCTCTTCTAACAAGCATAAGACTGACACTAGCCAGAAAGAGAAAGTGTAATTTTAAAGTCTAATTTTCTGATGCACTGAATACAGTAGACACAGAAAGGAGCCCAAACTCACAATGTTATAAGATTTTGAAGAATATGAAAGGTAAAAGGACATTGTTAATCTTCTTTGTATCTGTATATGATAGCCCTGGGACAGTGAAAGAATCATAAAAAGAAAGGAAATGGGGAAAAGAGTTCTGCAGTGTAAACTGATAAGCTTGTAAAACGTATGAGGTATAAGTGAAGTATCAGTTCCTTCTTCCCAAATTTAAATTTTTGTTTGTTTGGGTCTTTTTTTTTTTTTTTGGCTACAGTTAACTTTCATAAAAAAAGTGATAAATGATATGTAATGGAAGGTGGTTTTTAATAAGGGGAAAATACTTGTGTCATCAGTGACAGAAATAAATTTAATATAGAATAATAATGTATTAATAGGTACATATAATGTAATATGTAATGGAGAGGCATTAATATATAAAAAGGCTTTCTGACATTTGTGTTACTTTGTTATTTGCAAAATTAGGAATCAAGAATCTGATAGTTAGTCAGATTGCTAAAGTTCCTTGAAATTACTCAGGAGGTGCTGAGGCAACCAGGACATTTTGTTTTTTATTTGTTTATTTTTTTCACAACTTTTTTGGAGTATAATTGTTTTACAATGTTGTGTTAGTTTCTGCTGTACAACAAAGTGAATCAGTTATATGCATACACATGTCCCCATATCCCCTCCCTCTTGAGTCTCCCTCCCACCCTCCCTATCCCATCCCTCTAGGTCTTCACAAAGCATTGAGTTGATCTCCCAACCAAGACAGTTTAATGCACAATGTTGAACATTCAATTTAAAAATTACCAATAATACCAAGGAACAGGACAAAGAGAAAGACCAGATAATAAATATAAATGAATTCAGACAATCCAATTTATCACAGCTGATAAGACACAGCTAAAAAAAGGAATTAGTGAACTTGAGGACATGTCAATAGAAAATATTTGGACTGAAACACGGAAAGTAATTAATGGAAAATATATACAAGGGAATTAAGGAAAAATGAAACATAGTGAAAAGATCATCAGAAAAAGGTCATACACGTAGTTGGAAGTTCCAGAAGCGAGAAAGAGTGTGAAGGAAGAAGCATTATTTGAAGAGACGGTGGATCAGAGTACTTCAAAATGGACAGAAGGAATCAGGCCAGAAATTCAAGAAGGGTTAGGAACCTTAAGCAAGATAAATCAAAAGTAAATCCTACTTAGATGCATCATAGTAAAAATGCTAATTTAAAAAAAAAAAGATAAAATCTTATAAGCTACCAGATAACAATAAATCAGAGCAAAACCAATACTGATAGCAACAGAAAAAAACAGAAGCTAGTGGACAATAGAATGACACCTCTACCATGCCAAAAAAGACCAAAAAACCCCCCAAAACCCCCACTGCCAACCTAAAATGCTACACTTTGTGAAACTAACCTTCAAAAAATAAGGTAATCCAAGGTAAAATAGCTAGTGGGAAGCAGCCACATAGCACAGGGAGATCAGCTCGGTACTTTGTGACCACCTAGAGGGGTGGGATAGCGAGGGTGGGAGGGAGACGCAAGAGGGAGGGGATATGGGGATATATGTATATGTATAGCTGATTCACTTTGTTATACAGCAGAAACCAACACACACCATTGTAAAGCAATTATACGCCAATAAAGATGTTAAAAAAAAATAAGGTAATCAATAATGAAAGAAACGGAAAGAAGTTAAACATCAAAAGGAATTTTTTCAGTAGAAAGAAAATAATCTTAAATCATACAGAATTGCAGGAAAAAAAGAAAGAATACTAGAAAGTGTAAATATGCAGGTAAGTATAAAAGATCATTTACTATGTAAAGACCAATAACAAGCCTTGTAGAATCAAATATATATGTAGAATTAAAATGCATGGCAACTATAACATAAAAGATGAGAGGAGAATAAAAGGACTTTAAAGTTTGAAGTTCCAAGTATTATCATAAAGTGAAAAAATACTAATTTGTATTCAATGTTAATAAGTTAAGGATGAATGTTTTAACCTCAAGGATAACTTTTAAGAGAAAAACCAAAGAACACAGAACTAAAAATTATAAAATAAGAATAAACAGAACAATAAAAAATACTTGAGGAGCAGTAGTTCCAGAGACAGTTAAGAACCGGTATCAGATTCATCCTTCCCCATTAACTGCCATTATAACTGTGTAAAAATATGTATAACAACTCTTTCGGGCCGTGGATGGCAACCAATATGGGACTATGAATTTTGAAAGATGGAAAGCACATAATATGAGTTCATATTCACCTGGGCTATCTCCCTGAGAATATTTCCAAATACGGCCCAGGAAGATAGAGCCCAAGTAGAGAGTGGAGGTATCACTGAATACAAGAAACAGAAATCTGATTTGGGGCTGATCAGGTAGGGTTTGGGGCACAGGGTAACGCAGAGAAAGGGTCCATTGAGAAGAAATTCCAAAATTTCCTTAAAATTATACCTTGCGTCCTTTTTCTCTCCTAAGCTACAGATGTGCGGGGCAAAAGACTTTAATAGACACATTCACAAAAAAATATATCCAAACAGCCGATATATTATGCATTGGCATCTCATTACTCATCAGGGAAATGAAAATTAAAATCACAAAGCATAATTCCCTGGTGGTCAATGGTTAGGACTTCGCCTTCCAATGCAGGGAATGCGAGTGTGATCCCTGGTCAAAGAGCTAAGATCCCACATGACTTGTGGCCAAAAAACCAAAATATAAAAAAAGAGAAGCAATAATGTAACAAATTCAATAAAGACTTTAAAAATGGTCCACATCAAAAAAAAACTTAAAAAAAATTAAAATCACAATGAAATATCGCACATATTCACCAAGCTAGCTAAAACTTTAAAGACTGATAACACTGACAAAGCAAAGTATTGGTGAGGATTTGGAACACCTGAAGCTCTCATATACCACCAGTGGATGGGTAAATTGGTACAATCATTCTAGAAAGCTACTTGGCAAACATACCCACCGTAAGAAATGATCTAAAGGCTTTTCTGCATTGTCATTTGTCAGTCAATGCCTATTTCTAGGATTCTTTAAGGGGATTCATTTAGTTTTACAGTACAAGCAACGTTTCAATAAGAATAATGAGTTTTCTGCCACACATAATAAAACAAATAAGTTCATCTATTTAAAGGAATGATAAGAAAAGGAAAGAAAAAAGAGAGTCCACTAGTTTAATTTCTCTGAATTAAGAAGGGTAATGGTGAAAAGTGTCATAAAGTCTTAAATCAGTAAGTACACAAGTACATATATGACAAGTACAGATATAAGTACAACAGAGATTACCAGATTGCACAAGACAGTTCCATGCTCTAAAGGAACTCAAATTTATTGTCATTTAACTTGAAAAAGAGTGATTCATTAAAAAAAATTTTTTTTGTTAACATCTTTATTGGAGTATAATTGCTTTACATTGGTGTGTTGGTTTCTGCTTTATAACAAAGTGAGTCAGCTATACATATACATATATCCCCATATCCCTTCCCTCTTGCATCTTCCTCCCACCCTCCCTATCCCACCCCTCTAGGTGGTCACAAAGCACGGAGCTGATCTCCCTGTGCTATGTGGCTGTTTCCCATTAGCTATCTCTTTTATATTTGTTAGTGTATATATGTCAATGTCACGCTCTCACTTCTTCCCAGCTTACCCTACCCCCTCCACATGTCCTCAAGTCCATTCTCTACATCAGTGACTTTATTCCTGTCCTGTCCCTAGGTTCTTCAGAAACAATTTTTTTTTTTACATTCCATATATGTGTGTTAACATATGGTATTTGTTTTTCTCTTTCTGACTTACTTCACTCTGGATGACGGTCTCTAGGTCCATCCACCTCACTACAAATAACTCAGTTTCGTTTCTTTTTATGGCTGAGTAATATTCCATTGTATATATGTGCCACATCTTCTTTATCCATTCATCTGTCGATGGACACTTAGGTTGCTTCCATGTCCTGGCTATTGAAAATAGTGTTGCAATGAACATTGTGGTACATGACTCTTTTAGAATTATAGCTTTCTCAGGGTATATGCCCAGTATGGGATTCCTGGGTCATACGGTAGTTCTATTTTAAGATTTTTAAGGAATCTCCATACTGTTCTCCATAGTGGCTGTATCAATTTACATTCCCACCAACAGTGCAAGAGGGTTCCCTTTTCTCCACACCCTCTCCAGCATTTATTGTTTGTAGATTTTCTGATGGTGGCCACTCTGACTGGTGGAGGTGATACCTCATTGTAGTTTTGATTTGCATTTCTCTAATGATTAGTGATGTTGAGCATCCTTTCATGTGTTTCTTGGCAATCTATATATCATCTTTGAAGAAATGTCTATTTAGGTCTTCTGCCCATTTTTGGATTGGGTTGTTTGTTTTTTTGATATTCAGTTGCATGAGCTGATTGTATACTTTAGAGATTAATCCTTTGTCTCTTGCTTCAATCACAAATATTTTCTCCATTCTGAGGGCTGTCTTTTCATCTTCTTTACGTTTTTATTTGCTGTGCAAAAGCTTTTAAGTTTCATTAGTTGCCATTAGTTTACTTTAATTTTTATTTCCATTTCTCTAGGAGGTGGGTCAAAAAGGATCTTGCTGTGATTTATGTCATAGAGTGTTCTGACTATGTTTTCTCTAAGAGTTTTACAGTGTCTGGGCTTACATTTAGGTCTTTAATCCATTTTGAGTTTATTTTTGTG